TACTAGAAAATAGATTGATTCATTGATAAAATACGAAGTTGGGTGAATCAAAGTCCAACAAAAACCATTTAAAAAAACCAACGACAACAACTTAAACAAATAACCAATCCAAAACTCATTACAATCAAAAGACAGAACCTTCTCATCTAACTTCATCGTCATCCTTTTCTAGACTCATCATCTAATCTTAAGGAGACAAGAAGTCAGAATGGGTGGGATGTGTATGGCTTCGTGTTGCGGTGGTGGTGACGATGATGGTTCCAGTCTTATAACACATCTCATCATCATTTTGGTCATTTGTTTCTCTGTCATGGCCGTTTGCACCTCCAACGAACGCCGTGCCAACGTTCGTGTTGTCCGTTGCCGTTGACCAACTTTGACCGGTGGTATACCATCTAATCTCAGATCATACAACTCTAAAACAAAAAAAGATTTCTTTTGTATACACACATGTATGTTTGATTCTTGATTAGTGAATGAATAAGGTATTTGCTTTTGTCCTTCTTCCTTGTTTACCAAAATAGATGGATGAGAATGATAAATCACACAACCTCCTCCGAAATCTCTCACTAAATAAGAAACCACGGGGATAAAATTGAAATAACGTAAACTACGCGGGGCGATTTTGAAATTATTTTGTTTTTGTGTTTTGAGGATGAAGAAGAAGATCAAACGAATTGTTATTGTATATCCAGTGGATACAATTTTCCTTCACTTTCTCGCCGCACTTTCCCGATCACCGGAACAGCATTGTACAGCGATTCAGAGAATGTCTCTTTGTTTTTCTTCCTTTAACGTATTCTCTTCCTACTCACCCAAACCCAAAAGCTTCTTCAGAGATTCCAAATTCGTTTCACAGTTTCAGATAAACTCGTTTCCTCTTCGAATCCATGAATCCTCTTCGAATCTTAGGTTTATAAGAGCAGCGAGACTCAAACCGATTTCATCTCTAGACACGGGGATTTCAGAAATCGCTTCGTCGTCTTCCTTCAGGAACAAAAGCCCTAGCGAGATAAACGTTCTGGTGGTTGGTTCTACTGGGTACATAGGTAGATTCGTAGTGAAAGAGCTAATCAAAAGAGGGTTCAATGTGATTGCTGTAGCGAGAGAGAAGAGTGGGATTAGAGGTAAAAACGATAAGCAAGAGACTATGAATCAATTGCAAGGTGCGAATGTTTGTTTCTCAGATGTTACTCAATTAGATACCCTCGAGAAATCTGTGGAGGATCTAGGGTTTGGTATCGACGTTGTTGTTTCATGTCTCGCTAGTCGTAATGGAGGGATTAAGGATTCCTGGAAAATCGATTACGAAGCTACCAAGAACAGTCTTTTAGCTGGGAAGAAATTCGGTGCCAAGCATTTCGTTTTGCTCTCTGCGATTTGCGTGCAGAAGCCTCTTTTGGAGTTCCAGCGTGCGAAGCTGAAGTTCGAAGCCGAGTTGATGGATTTAGCAGAGAATCAAGACTCGAGTTTTACTTACAGCATTGTGAGACCAACGGCTTTCTTCAAGAGCTTAGGTGGTCAAGTCGAAATCGTGAAAGATGGGAAACCGTATGTGATGTTCGGAGATGGTAAGCTATGCGCGTGTAAACCGATCAGCGAACAGGATTTAGCATCGTTTATAGCGGATTGCGTGTTGGAAGAGAACAAGATCAATCAGGTATTGCCGATTGGTGGACCAGGGAAGGCGTTAACGCCATTGGAGCAAGGAGAGATTCTGTTTAGGCTTCTTGGGAGAGAGCCTAAGTTCGTGAAAGTACCTATCGAGATTATGGATTTCGTGATTGGCTTTCTTGATTTCCTCACAAAGATCTTTCCTTCGGTAGGAGAGGCTGCGGAGTTTGGGAAGATCGGGAGGTATTATGCTGCAGAGAGTATGTTGATTATTGATCCAGAGACTGGAGAGTATAGCGAAGAGAAGACACCGAGTTACGGGAAAGACACCCTTGAGGATTTCTTTGCGAAAGTGATCAGAGAAGGAATGGCAGGTCAAGAACTCGGAGAACAGTTCTTCTAATGGGAAAGTTTATGCGTAATAACTTCGAGTTGTGTCGTGTGTGTAACTAATGAGATTATGATGATTCAATCTGTGAATTTGAGAGATTCGTTGATTCAAACAAGAATAGAAAACACACATTGCAGAGATTACAGGGTCCAAATTTACGGATTGAGTTGTTTATTTGTATTCGACTTTTTTACACAGAAACCTGATATTTCAACAAATCTCTGAAAACATTACATCCAGGTAATTTTCCTGGATCAAGAATATATAAAGAGTATCATACATAATCCTCCATCTCCAACACCCAAACATAAATGATAAAATGTAACAATATAAGAACAACAAATCGAATCATGAAGAAGACAAATATATATGTTTTGCTTTCTGTGTCCAATAATCGTTATTGATTATCAATCTTTTCTTTTTTTCCATTTTTTAGTTATAACCGATAATCAAGTTCTGCCCCAGTTGTTGCAACAAAAAGTTCTTGCTTGCTTCTGGTGGCAATACATGAAAGATGTTGGTTTTGTCATTGAGGAAGAACAGGAGGTGCAATTGCTCTCGTGTTGTAAGATCTGCAATGTCCACATTTCTGTCCGATTATGTGGAAGTACACTTCTGTTGTGTCGTTACAGTCGTTGCATAGTATCCAAACCTGTCACATTTTGCCGAATCAGAACGTTGTATTCAACTTCCATGTCAATTCCGTGAAAGATTTCGCACTTCCACGGAATATCTTTGTCCCTCTTTTCTTGAGCTTTTTAAGTGAAGAGAGAAAGAAACGTATTTTTACCTTTTTGTCGCGGTAATCTGAAGGCATAGCAGTTGATTCGATCTACAGAAAACCGATGAAGGAGTTAATATTTTTCAGCACCTGCTTTGCAACAATGTATATGAAGAACCAAGTAAACTAACCTCTTCATCCATTCTCTGCCATGTTTTTGACATATCAATCACTGACCTCGAGCAAATCGGACAGCAAAACCTACACAAAAGTCACACATTCATAAGCCAAGTTTATGGTTTAAACAGAGAGACAAATAACCACAGGAAAAGAGTAAATTACTTGTCACGCTTGATCATCTCGTGGTAGCATTCGCAGTGCATCGTGTGTCCGCATTTCATCACTGTTGTGTCTTTAAGAGAATCAAAGAGATACTGCAGCCACAATGTATCTCACTCAACACACAATTTGCTAAAACTGCGAATATATGTTTCGCTGAAACTTTCACTTTTCTTGTTAAATTTAAGCCTTAAAACACATACCTCGTAACAAATGGGACAGTGATGCCGCATTGAATTCTCAACGCATTGATGGTTGTTGCGCAGACCGATCGCATAACAAGATCCTAAAAGCAAGGAATGGATGATTATGTTAGTTAATAACACATGATTGATTGTGTTTGATATGAAACTGAACATACCGCATTTCTTGCAATGAAAGAAATTCTCACGGCCACCAATCCTGCAACACGGCATAAATGTTGAAAAAAATCAGGTTAAAGCTTTAAACGAATCACCATTAAAAAGTTCAGAAACCATGAGGAACACAATAAAGTATGTACAAAGACTCCCACCTGCAAATTCCACAGTCATCACAATGGAACTGTTGTTTTTCAGTCTGGAAACAGAGAAATTGGAGCAATAATCAGATTCAAACACCGAGAAGTAAAAGATTCAAACAGATGTAGAATCAAAATCCATAAGATGGTTACATTATCATCATAGAATTTGCAGATATTGCAGAAATACTCTCCCATGTTGACACCACAGTTGGAGCAAACTTGAGTTGCCTAAAAAACACATTGAAACAAACCCAATTTCACACGCGATGCAGCGAGCTAAAACATCGAAACTACTAATTGGCGAGTGATCATTATAACTCATAAGACAAGTTATAACGCAATTCAAACTATAATAATGAAAATTACCGGCTGCTCTGTATCGCAAACAAAACAAATCACCTGAAAAACAGAACACCATAAGACGCACCGATTTAGAACAAAAATGCTAACTTTCTAAGAACAAATACATATGATTCTATAAAAGAGGATAGGATCGTACTTGTTTAACGTCTTGACGAACAAGCTCGTGACGGTCGTAGATATTACGCAATGTGCTCTGAAACACACATAAATCATAAGAAAAAAAGGAATTGTCTTTAACTTGAATCAGGTTCAAGACTGTAATTGAAGATGATTTGAGAGAATTATACAGTGCTCTCGTTGTGACAATGGCGACAAGCGAAGACTTCGTTGCAACATGGAGCTCTGATTTGGCATCTCCTCCTGTAATGGTCACACCTATAATACAACAAGGAAGAGGAAACGATCTAAATGGATCAGAAATCATCAAACTTTTGTGGATCGATACAGATCTATGAATTCTAACAAGTGAATAAGAAACTGGAAACAAATGAAAACCCATGAATCAGATTTGGAAAAAGGAAGAAACTTTGTGAATCAGAAGTTGGAATCTACAGATCACACAAAAGAAAGAGACGAAATCTCGTGGACCATACGTGAAAATAAACCAAGAAACATTGATCTGGGTAAGGCAGAGACAAAAACAGAGGATGTTTTTACCCGAAACCCATGACGCCAAAATGAAGTCGATCATTGGGTGAAGCTTCCATGAGAGCAGGAGGAGAAAAGCCGATAGAGAGAAGGG